TTCCCGATATTTGCATTCTGATTTTACTTTTTTTTTTCTACAGACAGGTGGTACATCATTTTGGCTGCAAATCTAGCACTTGAACGGAGTGTACAGGATGAGCTCCGGTGGTAAAGGAAAGGAAAAGGCCGAGCCCTATAACTCCACCACCACCGACGGCGCTGATGGTGATGGTGATGGTTTACAGCCTGAACAAGAATCCCGATCGGACAGGAAAAAAGAAAAAGAGACCCCCAATGCCAATAGTGTCCCATTCTACAAGCTGTTTGCTTTTGCTGATTCCACTGATTACATGCTGATGATCGCTGGTACCATAGGCGCCATCGGTAATGGAGCTTGCATGCCCCTCATGACTATTCTTTTTGGCGACCTTATAGATTCTTTTGGTGAGAACCAGAATAACGACGATGTCGTCCGTGTTGTTTCCAAGGTACGTATAACTTATATGTATGTTTAATTGGTTATTGGTGGGCTAGGCAGAATGTTTTATGACAAAGTACAAGTATTATTAATTGTTAGGTATCGCTGAAATTTGTTTACCTGGCTATTGGGGCTGGTTTGGCAGCATTCTTCCGTAAGTAGATAAAATCCTAGCTATTTCTTAAAACTTAGTTATATGGATCTATATATCAGCTTTTTCTAATTAGGCATGTTATGTATGTACGTATGTAGAGGTGTCAATGTGGATGGTAACGGGAGAAAGACAGGCTGCAAGAATAAGGAATCTGTATCTAAAAACCATATTGAGACAAGATGTGTCCTTCTTTGACAAGGAAACAAACACCGGGGAGGTTGTTGGCAGGATGTCTGGAGATACCGTCCTCATACAAGATGCCATGGGGGAAAAGGTTCTTAATTTAATTTCTATAACTAGTTACATTATTATTATTATTACTATAATAGTTGTTGGTTTTGTTTGCAGGTTGGAAAATTCACTCAGCTACTGGCAACATTTGTGGGAGGTTTTGTGATAGCATTTGTGAAGGGATGGCTTCTTACGCTTGTCATGTTAACCTCGATTCCTCCATTGGTGATTTCTGGTGGAATGATGTCACTACTTATATCCAAGATGGCATCACGGGGACAAACCGCTTATGCTAAAGCAGCCAATGTAGTCGAACAGACAATCGGCTCAATCAGGACGGTAATATATACGTATACAAATATATATATATATATATATATATATATATGTGTGTGTGTGTGTGTATTTTCTGTATATCATCATATCATACTATATGATTGGTTTTTAAAAAAATATAAAATAAAATAGGTTGCTTCGTTCACCGGGGAGAAAAAAGCTGTTGCGGATTACAATAAATCGCTTGTAGATGCTTACAAGTCTGGTGTGAATGAAGGCCTGGCTGCTGGGCTTGGTTTTGGATCGATGATGTTGATCGTGTTCTGTAGTTATGCCTTGGCTGTTTGGTATGGTGCAAAGATGATACTGGAAAAAGGCTACACCGGGGGGGATGTGGTCAACGTAATTTTTGCAGTGCTCACCGGATCCACGTCCGTGATTTCTTTCTTTCTTTTGTCTTTCTCAAATCTCAAATCTCAACTAAATAGGTAAATAAAATAAATTGTGTGCCCTGCAGGTCTCTTGGTCAGGCGTCTCCCTGTTTGAGTGCATTTGCTGCTGGCCGAGCAGCAGCATACAAGATGTTTGAAACCATAAACAGAAAGCCTGAAATAGATGCATATGACACAAAAGGGAAAGTACTGAGTGATATCCGTGGTGATGTGGAGTTAAAGGATGTGTATTTTAGTTATCCTGCAAGACCAGATGAGGAAATATTTAGTGGCTTCTCTCTTTTCATCCCTAGTGGGACGACTGCAGCTTTGGTAGGAGAAAGTGGAAGTGGAAAGTCAACTGTGATCAGCCTGATTGAGAGATTTTATGATCCTAAAGCAGGGGAAGTTCTCATCGATGATATTAATCTCAAACAATTCCAGCTGAAATGGATAAGGGAGAAAATTGGTCTTGTTAGCCAAGAACCGGTCCTGTTTGCATCCAGCATCAAGGATAACATCATGTACGGGAAAGATGGTGCGTCTATGGATGAGATTAGAGTTGCGGTCGAGCTAGCAAATGCTGCTAAATTTATCGATAAACTGCCTCAGGTCCGTTTCTATTTGCCATTTGCCATTTGCTTTGCTTGCTTGTTATATAATATTTATTACTGATACCGATATTGATTTTGTTTGTTTGTTTAATCAGGGCCTGGACACCATGGTTGGTGAGCATGGAACACAGCTTTCTGGTGGACAGAAGCAAAGAATTGCCATAGCCAGAGCAATTCTTAAAGATCCCAGAATCCTACTCCTTGATGAAGCAACAAGTGCACTGGATGCAGAATCTGAGAGAGTTGTGCAGGAGGCGTTGGACAGGATTATGGTGAATAGGACAACCATCATCGTAGCACATCGTCTAAGCACAGTAAGAAATGCCGACATGATTGCAGTCATTCATAGGGGAAAGATGGTTGAGAAAGGTAGGTCCCTACTCCTAGTTTAATTCACATACAAAACATCATCACCATGGCTAATGGCTTATGAATCATGGGTTGCAGGATCACATTTGGAGCTAGTCAAGGATCCTGAAGGAGCATACGCTCAACTTATAAAACTGCAAGAAGTTAGTAGGGACTCAAGAAAGCAGCAGCTGGGGTCAGAGGACCCCCCAACCCCAAGTAGTGATAATAAAAGGTACCTGCGGTCGATAAGCCGAGGATCATCATCTAGCATAGGAAACAGCAGCCGGCACTCGATTTCCAACTCTTTTGGCATGCCTACACAACTCGCTGTGGCTGCTGAATCCATGGATGTTGAAGCTGCTTCAGAAGAAGAAAAGGCAGCACCCAAAGTGCCACTCCGACGACTTGCCTATCTCAACAAGCCAGAGATACCGGTGCTCATAATGGGTACCATAGCTGCTATCGTCAATGGAGCAGTCCTCCCGGTTTTTGGCATTCTGATTTCCAGCATGATCAAGACCTTCTATGAGCCCCCACATAAAATGAAAAAGGATGCTCGATTCTGGGCTCTAATGTACGTAGTCCTCGGGGTGGTATCTTTTTTAGCTTATCCTGGGAGATCATATTTTTTCTCTATTGCTGGTTCTAAGCTAATAAGAAGGATCAGATCTCTATGCTTTGAGAAGGTGATACGGATGGAAGTGGGTTGGTTTGATAAGCCAGAAAACTCCAGCGGGGCAATCGGTGCCAGGCTGTCGGCAGATGCGGCCAGCCTTCGTGGTTTGGTCGGCGATGCACTTGCTCAACTTGTTCAGGATTCATCGTCTGCTGCTGCTGGTTTAGCCATTGCATTTGTAGCATGCTGGCAGTTGGCTCTCATCATGCTTGCTCTCATCCCTCTCATAGGACTCAATGGATTTGTTCAGGTGAAATTCATGAAAGGCTTCAGTGCGGATGCTAAGATGATGTATGAGGAAGCAAGCCAGGTGGCAAACGATGCGGTTGGGAGCATAAGGACGGTCGCGTCTTTTTGCGCAGAAGAGAAAGTAATGCAACTTTACAGAAATAAATGTGAGGGTCCCAAGAAAGCGGGGATACAGCAAGGTTTGATCAGCGGGATTGGGTTTGGGGTGTCGTTTTTCTTGCTTTTCTGTGTGTATGCAGCAAGCTTTTATGCTGGGGCTCGGCTTGTTGAGGCTGGAAAGACCACCTTCTCAGATGTTTTCAGGGTATTCTTTGCTCTCACGATGGCAGCCATAGCAGTGTCCCAGTCGAGCTCATTTGCCCCAGATACAAGCAAAGCCAAGACTTCTGCTGTCTCTGTGTTTGCCATTCTAGACCGCAAGTCAGAGATAGACCCAAGTGATGAATCCGGGACGACATTGGATAATGTCAAGGGGGAAATCGAGCTTCGTCACATCAGCTTCAAGTATCCCACCAGACCTGATGTTCAGATATTCCGTGATCTATGCTTAACCATCCACAGTGGCAAGGTACCTACCTGGTTTGATTTAATCTAATTATTTACCTCTTGATGTTGATGTTGGTGTTGGTGTTGGTGTTGGTGCTGATGTTCATCAGACAGTGGCATTGGTTGGAGAGAGTGGAAGTGGGAAATCAACAGTGATCTCGCTGTTGCAAAGATTTTATAATCCAGACTCGGGCAGTATCACGCTGGATGGGATCGAGATACAAAAGTTTCAACTCAAGTGGCTGAGGCTGCAGATGGGTCTGGTGAGCCAAGAGCCAATCTTGTTCAATGACACCATCCGATCCAACATTGCTTATGGAAAAGATGGTGATGCCACAGAGTCTGAAATAATAGCTGCTTCCGAGTTGGCAAATGCCCACAAGTTCATCAGCAGCTTACACCAGGTCAGTCATCAGACCATCTATTATTTGAGTTATATATATATATATATATATATATATATATATATATATATATATATATATAATAATGGATATGAATGAAAATTTAGGGCTATGACACGGTGGTAGGGGAAAGAGGGGTGCAGATGTCGGGTGGGCAGAAGCAGAGAGTGGCGATTGCAAGGGCTATTGTGAAAAGTCCAAAGATACTATTGTTGGATGAGGCTACAAGTGCACTGGATGCAGAGTCGGAAAGGGTGGTTCAAGATGCGTTGGACAGAGTGATGGTCAACAGGACCACGGTCGTGGTTGCTCATAGGTTGTCCACCATCAAGGGAGCTGATGTCATTGCGGTGGTCAAGAATGGAGTCATTGTTGAGAAAGGGAAGCATGAAAAACTAATTAATATCAAGGATGGATTCTATGCATCTTTAGTTGCTCTTCACATGACCGCTTCCACTTAAATTTATATTTTGAGCTATTTAACCAGTTGAATTAAATTGTATTCCATTTTGTTTTTTGTAATATCCAAATATGAAGTTTGTAAAGTTTTGAAGAAAATAGAATGAACAACTGCTTTGTTGAAAACATGTCTTGAAGATTAGAATCATTTTTTGTAATATCCAAAGTATCAACATTCAACAAAGAATCATGTATTTCATTTCCTTTAACCTAAATTATTCTGTCCTGTTGGATATTACAGTTTGGTGGTTGACTACATGTAGTTTTCAAACATATTATTAGTATTTACAAAATGCATAACATAAAATAAAAGAGATTGAGAGTCATAATAACCTCTTCACAATCACAATCACAATCACATCCTCCTTATTCTTATGACTTATGAGCCAACCAGCATGATAAAAATAGAATTCCCTTTTTCCTACACGCTAGCTACTCACTGTAAACCTAAAAGCTGTGTCATATTGTTCACGTACCAAAAGAAAGTGACAAAACCAGTGTAGACCTCCTCTGTCTTTCTAAAAATACAAACAACCTGAAACTGAACTTCACGTCCCTTTTTCCAGATATCAACCTCCCACCCATCATCATAAGTATGTCATGTCAAACTTCCCTTCCTACATAATTTGATTTCCATCACCATGTATACTGAATGTTAAAAAAATAAAGCTGTCCTATCATTCACATAAGATGAGGTTGATATTTATTTTGTAAAGAATATTTGTTGTTAGCATTTTCATACAACAAAGTGATAAGCATGAATTCACCAACTATATATCTTGAGTCATTTGGAAATAAAAGATTATTTATGAGGTGAGGGGAGGGGAGGGGAGGGGATGACATACCGACTTTATTCTCTCTAAGAAGGATAAGGAAGCATCTTGCAATTAAAACTATCATGCAAAAGCTGGTTGATAGCGTCCCTGAATTTGAGATAGTCATCAATGGTGTTGTAAACCTGATGAGAAATCCTAGCATAGCCGGTGATAAAATCAGCACTACCACCCTCGACCTCCTCTGCTGCTGCTGTGTCTTTCAATGGCTGGTAGTGTATAGGAACTTCCACCTTAAATTGGTCTCTCAGATGATTTCTTAACCTAGAAGCATCACCATCGCTTAAAACCCCCAAAGACGAAGGCAGGCCGACCATGGCCATGCTAGGACACATTTCAGGAGGCGACCCCAGGCTGGTCCCCCAAGCCTTAGCCAGCATCTCTGCCATTTCAACAACAGCTTCATGATTCCTATCCCTAATTCCATCCATCCCCCCTTCAAACCTGTTGATGAAATCTATAACCTCCGGGACAAGCAACTGAGAGCTGTAATCCCGTGTACCTATCCAGGCACTCTCTATGGCGAGTCCATTTCCATATTCATGCGACACCACAGGGTGGTGCAGCTCCGAGGAGGATAAAGAAGATTTCCGGCAGTAAAGAAGAGCCACGGATGGTGGGCAGAAAAACCACTTGTGTAAGTTACTGACATAGAAATCAGCCCCTATATCCTTCACATCAACCGAGACACTACCAACCGCGTGGGCAGCATCCACAAACACCTGGCTCACTCCTTCTTCCCTGCAAATCTTTACCAACTCACGAACTGGAATTATGAGAGAGGGCATGGAGGTTATGTGATCAATTATGGCTAACCTAACTTTCCTACCGTTGGCCTTGCCCCTTGCCAAACCCTTTCTAAATTCGGAGATTATTTCTTCGTTGGACTTGATAGGGAAAGGAAGATGTACCACGATGACGGAGCCACCTGCACGGGTCACATAAGCCTCGATGGATTTCTTCACGGCTTGGAAAGCACAGTGAAGCATGACGACAGCGTCTCCTTTGTGGAAACGGCCTTCCGCGAATGCCCATCCAACCTGCTGGAGAACAATCGCTGCGGCGGTGGTGGCATTGTCAACGATTGATACTTCAGAGACGTCATCGGCGTTGATAATGTCCTTGATTAGGGTTCGGGAACGGAGGATTTGGGTAGGTAGTTGGTTGAAGAAGAAATCGTCGGGTTGTTGAAGAAACTTGAGCTGCCACCGTTTCTGGGCTGCGATGATGGAACCTGGGCAGCTGCCGAAGCTGCCGTTGTTTAGACGGGCAACGCCAGGCTGGTGATGGACGAATTCTTGTTGAATTTGGGATTGAGTAATGAATGATGATAGTTTAGGTTTCTTCGGAAGATGGATATGGTTGCTATTCTCTTCGGGGTCGTCTCTATGGTTTCTAATTTCACCCATTTTCTCTGTATCTTGTTCCTAGGGTTTCATGTGAAGGGCTGCACTGTTTGTGTCAAATTAGCGCCAGACAGAAACCGGATGCTTTTCTTTTCCAGACAGAAACCGTTTGATAATTTGGTTGTTTAATTTCTAATTTATTTTTTTAATTTGAAATGTTTCTAATTTAGTCTTTGTTTTATTTAAAAAAAATTATTTTGCTTTTAATTTTTTAATTTATTAAAACAAAGATATCTTAATCCCACCTCTCACCTTACCATACATATCCCACTATTTTTTTTTATTTAAATAATAGTTTTTTTAGGTAAGACAAAAACAAATAGTAGGGACCAAACGCATAATAAAACAAATATTATGGACCTTCCGAGTTAAAAAAAATAATTTAGGAACCAAACATGCAAATTATCCAAAACCATAGGGACCATTTGTGTAATTTACTTTTTTTTCTTTTTATTCATTAGATTTTCTTTTTATTCATTAGACTAGAGGGAGTGGGTGGGGTCTCGAGGGCACTCTCCTTACCATATAAACAGAAACACCTCCCCTGGGTACGGTAGAGAGTACACTGCGGCTTTCCAAATGACCACTCTTTCAAATAACGTGATTGGTTCCTTTTTCTTACCTCTTTTTGATTGGTCCTTTTTATTTATTAAAAAAAAAAATTAAAAAAAAAATACTCAAGTGTGGCACCATTCCGTTGGTGTGGTATGAAACCACACTTTTGTGGTAACGGGTGAGGTGTCGTTTACTTGTCACTGCGGTTTCATGAGGGAGTGCGGAACAATTCTCTCAAGCCTTATTGTGCGATCATCACATTTCTTGTGTTCAAGTCATATATATATATATATATATATATATATATATATATATATATATATATATATATATATATAGAGAGAGAGAGAGAGAGAGAGATAGAGAGATAGAGAGAGGGGGGAGAGGAATGATCATTTGAGAGCTTATAATTTCGCGAGAACTAAAAGTTGATCATCAGATTAAAAAAATTAAGAGCTAAAATCTTTTATTGCACTTTTGTAAATAAATGGGAAAAATTAGGGGGTATGGTACTGAAATTAATCTAAGGGCATTTTGTTGGAATAGTGTCTAAGGCTATAACTATATTCGGTTGTGCATGGTCCTTTTGGGTTGCCTTCACCATAGCAACTTGAAGGATGATTTATTAAGAGAGAGTAAATATTATAAGGAATAATATTTGGCTATTTGATTAATATAAGTCATAAATTAATTGGTATTAATTTGGTGACTTAAAGAGATTAATTAAATAAGAGGGTATAAACTGTCAATTGTTTGATAGTTAGATTTTAGACTATAAATCCATTAGGATATACCTTGGACGGATTCTAAGAGCTTTAGGATAGCTCAAATCGTCCATAGGGTTATCTATGGAATGGATTTGGATAGCCTTAAGAGAAGATTATCCAATTAGGGTTTAGGGTGAAACCCTTAAGGAGTCTAATAGTATAAATAGCCCTATGGATGAGGGAATTCGACACACAACCTTAAGCAAGGAACCTCTGGTCGAATTCCTCCCCTCTCCTCTCTCCTAAATCATCTTGCTTGCTATTGGTGTTTGTAAGCCATTAGAGGAGTGACAATTGTGACTCTAGAAGCTCCAAGACAAACAAGATCAACAAGGAATTCAAAGGTATGATTCTAGATCTGTTTCAATATTGTTTTTAACCTAATTAGCCATTAGAAGTCTTGGATTCAAAAGCATGTTTATTAGAAAGCCTAGATCCAAGCATTAGGGTTTTGCATGCGCACATAGGAAAGTTCTTATGGCTAAAACCCATCAGTGGTATCAGAGCCTAGATTGGTTTTCTTTAAATTGTTGCTTGAATAACTGAAACAAACCTGCAAAATTCGATTTTTTGGGTTTTGAGTCACTGACTCGTCGAGTTCCAAGGTGGACTCGTCGAGTAGGCCTGACTCGGCGAGTCCCCTTGTGCACTCGGCGAGTCCAGGCGTCAGGAATGGCCAGATTCGGGATTTTTTCATAATTATCTTATGGAAACTTACCTTAATCATATTAGATCAATCTAAATCCGATTTTTTGATAAATATGACTATTATCTTGATCTAATTAAAGATATTTATCATCTAATAAAATATTTAATTTCCTTATATGATAATGATTAATTATTTTGGTAATTATCTTCAAAGAAATCAAGATAAATCAAATAAAGATAATTAGAATATTAATTGTTAATTGGAATTATTTGTTATTTGATCCTTCATGTTTTAAATGTTTAAAACCTACCCTAAAGTTTTGAAATTTATATTTGTGATTAAAAGTTTTAATTTAGACAACTTAAATTTCAAACCCTAGATTTTGAAAAGTTTAAAATGCAACCCTATACTTATATGATATTACTAGAATAATATATATATATATATATATATATATATATATATATATATATATATATATATATATGTATAACTAAATGCTAGTCTTACCGCTAGTAGGCCTCATTCACGAAGCCGATCTATAAGGTGGGTATAAGGTTGCGGCCTATAAAATGGCGCTTAATGGGTGTACACTCACACCCACCGCTTGCTTGATTGGTGGAGGGTCGTTAGCCGAACGGGTAGGATAGGGCAACCTCATCCTCTCATTAAAAGTATAATAAGAAATACGAAGTAACTAAACTTTTTTTAAATTTCCCAATCTTAGTTACTTTAGGAAAAGTGAATTGATGCAATCCCATGAAATTACACTTTGCACCTTGCTAAGATGTTAGTGGAGCGTGTGTGGTTTACCGGCACACTAATTGGTTCTAAGCGAAGGTGGCAAAGGGTGATTCATTGTTCATCATAGTTCGATGGAGCGTGTGTGGTTTACCGGCACATCGAATAGGTGATCGTTACAATGAAGGCACCATGTGAATTTGCATGGTAATTCACACCCGCTTTGTGATCCTCGGCATCCCAGTCACAAACAAGAGGGGCATATCGAGATTTAAACATGCCATTGAATAGTTCAATGAATCTCATCCGAACCTAGGAATTCTCAAAAACACTTAGGACTAATAGTTTAAGTTTTGTGATGGAGAATTAGTGAATCGTCATTCACTTACCTTCAATTTATTTGCATGTTAGATTACGGCATCCCTTTTCTAGTATGTAAATGTTATTGTTGGATCCTAGCCCTAATTTTTCTTATTGGGTGATAATTAGGGATTCTTATTCTAATCTATCTTTGTCCTTTCTATAGATGTCAAACGCAAACAACGCTGCTGCTAGTTCTTTCACGTTGATGAGCCTTTGCCAAAAGGTCACCTTCGATGGAACGAACTTTAGCGAATGGATAAGATACATTCGCACCATTGCTCGCTATGAGGATAAAGAGTATGTCCTCGATGAGAAGCTCGAGAAAATCAACCCCGAAGTTGCTACTCCCGCCGAAATCACCGCCTTTGAAACTCATGAGCGAGATGCAACGAAAGTACATTGCATCATGATCGCCACCATGAACTCCGAATTCCAAAAGTCCTACGAGGACATGTATCCATACGAGATGCATCAAGACTTGTTGGAGAGGTACCACCAAAACGCGAGACAAGAGCGTTACGAGATTTCACTAACATGATTTCCGCAAGATGGGTCATGGAGAATCTCTTACCGTGCACTTGCAAAAGATGCAAAGGTATGTCGACCGCCTTCGCAAGTTAAATGTTGACTTCGGCGAAGACTTGGCGATCGACATGGTGCTTCACTCTTTGCCTCCGATGTACAATCAATTTAGGATGACCTACCACATGAACAAAGAGGAGGTCACTCTAAGTAAACTCCAAGGTCTCTTGAGGGTTGCTGAGAGCAATTTCAAGGACAAGTCTGTTGCACCAACTCCCAATCCATCCGCTGCTCCTGTCTTGGCTATTGGTCAAGGGAAGGGAAAGAAGAGGAAAGCTTCTTCAAATAACTATCGAAAGGTGAAAGCCCGAGATGGTTCCTCTTCTAGTGGGACCAAAGTTGATCCCTCTAAGCCCTGCTCTAACCCGAAGGAGGCAGAGTGCCACCACTGCCACAAGATAGGACATTGGAAGAGAAGCTGCCCGGATTACCTGCAAGCCATCAAGGAAGGAAAGATCAAGCCATCTTTCGCAGGTATATATGCAATCAAATCTAACGATTCTAATCATGCTATTTCTTGGGTTCTTGACACCGGTTGTGGTTATCACATTTGTTCTAATGTGCAGGGACTAAGAAGAAGTAGGGATGTGGAGCAAGGAAGGATCAATCTAATCATGGGGAACAGAAGATCGTCGCCTGTGACCAAGATTGGAGTGTATTCTTTAGTGCTTAAGAATAGTTTAGTTTTAGATTTGAACAATTGTTGCTATTCGCCAGAAATGGCTAGAAACATCATTTCATTTCATGGTTTATATAGACAAGGATTTAGATTTTCTTTTAATAATGAGAATGGTTCTATTTTGGCTTATCTAAATGGTGTCTTTTACTTTGAAGCTATACCATGTAATGGAATATATGAAACTGTTATGATTGTTGATAACTTAGGAAATGATGTTTTGAATATTGATTCTTCCACTAGTATGGATAAAGCATCCTTGTGGCATTGTCGTCTTGGACATGTCAACAAGAAACGCATAGCCCAACTCCAAAAGGATGGAGTGTTGGAGTCATTCGACCTTAGGGAAGATGACACATGCGAGTCTTGTTTACTTGGAAAGATGACTAAGTCACCCTTCACGAGTACTTGTGAAAGGGGTGAGGGACTATTAGACCTAATACATACCGATGTATGTGGACCTTTTAGATCAACCACGAAGGATGGGAACCGCTTCTATGTGACTTTTACCGATGATTATAGTAGATATGGGTATATCTATTTAATCAAGCAAAAGTCAGAAACCTTTGAAAAGTTCAAAGAGTTCAAGAATGAAGTGGAGAATCAATTGGGCAGGAAAATCAAGATGCTTCGATCCGATCGAGGAGGAGAGTACCTAAGTCTTGAATTC